AATCAAAAAACGTAAACCTTATACTAAAATGTATACAAAAATTACAAAACCGGAGGTAATTTAATATATTTAGAGAGCAGATAATAATCATAAACGTCAGTCAATTTTCGACTGTAAAATTACAACAATAATAGCTCGAAAAAGCCCAATACAATAATAGTAGATGCATCATAGGCGTGCACACGGGGGGTGCAGGGTATGCAACTGCACCCCCAGCGAGTTAATTTTAGAAATAGATTGATAGATAAATAATATTTTTTAAGTTTATAATTTTTTTCAAGCCCGCGGTCACACGTGAGTGCAGCAGTGAGTGCAGCAGCAGGCTGGTATGTACCATAGAGTAATATTACTCTATGCATGTACGATACACGGTTAAAATCGTTTTCTGTTATCGCGGCTCGATTGTCGATAGTTAGGTATCGTAAAAGTGGCTATACAAAAAGTTATTTATAACTTCTGAATTGCTATTATTAATTGTGATAACTGATAATAAAACACATTAGTAACTGTTGTTGTTTACAGTAAGAAATAAGAATCCCTGGCAGCGTAGTCGTAGTGCAAAATAATTATTTTATGGTGGGTAATGTACTCGCGTGTTTGATTAATTTATACATTTTATTGATTTAATATATTAATTATAAAGAAGTTTAGTAGGTAAACAGTATATTTAAGTATTTAACTATAGTTACGTGATATAAAATTTAAAATGTCACGAAAAATAAAGTCAACAACCTTGTATGACTTTTTTAAGCCTTCATCACCAAAACAAATAAAAACTGAATTATAATTTATAAAATTATTGACTTCTAAGAGAAATGAAATTATTAAAAAAATAATTATTAATTTTTTTTTTTTTTATTAATCCTGGCCCGACTTGTTACATGGCTAGGTAACATACTAAAATTTTCAATTTGTACTGTGCACCCTCAGCAAAAATGTCCTGCGCACGCCTATGAGATGCATAATAAGGTAGATAATAAGATAGTCAATAGTCATAGAATAATAATAATAATAATAGTTACAGCAGGTCGGTCAATTTTCAACTGAAATAATACAATTATAATATCAATATTTTGTTGGGTATAGTGTAATACTGTAACATAATAATAATAATAATAATAATAATAATAATAATAATAATAATTGATATCAATATTCAATAGTCAATAGTTTAATACACCTAATTGGTGCCTTGGTCATAATAATAACAATAAATTGTGAATGAAAGTAAGGTAGTTTTTCTGTAAGTACCTACTCTGTAAGTAAATTGTCACTCGTCAGTCGTTTTTGATACAATAATTTACAAATGTTTTTACTTCTGGGTTCTCTCTTTTGAGATCGGTGTAAAATTATCCAGTACATTTCATTGAACACCTCTTAGAACACCATTTTACATTTTTTCACCCAATATTTTAATTTTTAACTTAGTAGTATTAGTGGTCTACCATATGAGCTTCCTTCCGCTTGCAACATTACTCTAAGTGATGTCGAGTCTAGTCTAGCCAAATTACGTCTTAAAAATTCAGTTGGACCTGATGGTATCTCAGGCAATTTTATTTATGATCTTAGGTCTGTTTTGTGTTTTCCTCTTTTTCTAATTTACAATAAATCCTTATGTGAAGGTGTCTTCCCAGATATTTGGAAGATTTAGGTCCGTCTGTCTACCCTATGTGATAGGAGAAAACAGGGCAACCTTATGTTCCTTTCTAAGCTTATTAATGGTGAAGTTGCCGCCCCTGTACTCCTATCCAAAGTTAATATCAGAGTTCTTGCTTATTGTTCCAGATCCTATTTCCCATTTCATATTCCTTTTAGCCGCTATAATTATTTAACTAATCGCCCTATACTTCGTATGATGAAACTGGCCACAATTCCTTAGCATTTAGTCTAATTATTGTCTTTCTTTCTTAAATATGTGTAATTTTTTCTAGTGAATTACTGTCAACAAAATCAATGTAATTGGGCTCGTCTTAAATACTTTCTCATATGACTGATTATTTATGGATGAATTGTTATGTTGAAATACATTCAATAGAGTACAATATACTCCTATAGTCTTATCTTATTGGAAATTTGTGTTTAGCCCACATAAAAATGTATGCTGTAACGTTAAAATAGATTAATGTTAATACCACAAGTCACTTATCTTAAAACCATTTGATAAGTTGTATAAATTAATTTATAATGTTGATGATACATTAACTATAAACTGTACAAAGTGTATATTATTATTACCAGGCGAATACTTAATAAAACCTATATAAAACTATAACAACATTTTTCAGTGGAAATATTTAGAAAAAATATAGACACAACACTGATATATTGACCCTATTCAACACTTGACTGTGCTCCTTATTGGTTCATTTTATACTTGCATACTAAACGAATTAATACGATTGTATAGGTGGTCGGAGCGCAACAGGTACCTGACAGTAAACTACCAGTTCACTCAGAAATTGACAATGCCGATGCAAACGGTAGCGCAGAAATCGTCGAGGTGGAGTTCGTAGAGGTACAGATGGAAGATATCGACGAGGAAGTTGTCCAGATGGACCAAGTCCTGATGAAAGACGATAACGTAGAATTTATCGAAGTTCGGATGGACGAGAAGAGATGGTGGACAACAATGACGGGATGCAACTTGAAATCGACAATTTACTTCAAGGCGTCGATGAAGAGGTCAGTGAATATTTCTTCATATTACCTATATCTATGTTTGTTTCAATTTTGTAATTTCAATTGGAGTTCGAACCAATTCCCCCGGGTGTCCCGGTGATAGATCGTCCGGCTGGCGTCAAACATCCGCTCCCGGAAAAGCATTACATTTGGGCGTTGAATGCGGTCTGTAGAGATTATTTTACCCGTCACTTCCCTATCGAAAGTGCCGGGTGGGGTGGTTTCTATACATGTTGTAATAGCGGTCTCGTGACCGTAACAGAAGAGCATGTGTTGCAACCCGTACCTGTGTTACTAATGAATTTGTTGACTTCTGATTCAAGGGAAGCCAGGAGCTTTAGACCTGAGATTCGAAGGTACAACAACTGTTTAGCATTCACTGCGTTCTCCAGTGACTTTAACCCCAGACGTTTGCCAGGTCTTGGACCTAGGGTATTCTATGCTCAACAAGTGTATCACAGGACTAACAATGAAGTCACCCCAAACTTAGACAGGCCACTGAGAGCTCATAATTTGTGCAAATTACATCTATACAATATTATACTATGTACATTTACATTTGGCAAACTATTTAATTTTCACTTATAAACTGATTATTTTAATGCGATTAGGTATAATTAATCATTTGTGCACACTGTGTAGGTACAAAACATATTATTAAACTGTTAACTAACAATTATTTCATTTTAAATTAAAATTGGTCTAAGTAAAAATAGTTACACCATATATTTCACACCCCAAGAATTTTCACAATATTACAACAATTTGAATGTACATTAACGCCCAAACAAAGTGGTGACTTCCATCTATCATTTGGGTGTGGGTTGATATTTATAATATAAATATTAATGACAATAATTGTTATGTTTATAATATAATTATTCTTAAATTACATAAATACATAAAAAAAAACTTCTTGTCACCTGCATCAACAGTATTCAAATGCTCATCAATGTACAAAATATGTACGGATAATGAATTATGATTTTTACAAACTTTTTTTAACTCCATTGGTTATTACATAATTTTGTATTTATGTAACATTCCAATTGTTGTAATATTGTCTAATATTTCTAACTCAATTTGTATCATAATATATTATTGAAATATGAAAATTGAAGTATTTACTATCTGTAAAATAAATGGCTATTATAAGAATTGAATTTTGAAATTCTATTCGTAAGTCTAAAATGTTACTAATTATCTTAATAATCTCATATGTACTACCTATTTCAGTGGATGGAACGTGAGTTATTCTAAAAGAATTAGTTTTACTTGCCTATCATTTTATTTTTAAAATTTGTTTAATAATTAAAACTGTTTAAATTATATATATGTACATACATATGTGCATATGAGATTATTAAGATAATTAGTAACATTTTAGACTTACGAATAGAATTTCAAAATTCAATTCTTATAATAGCCATTTATTTTACAGGTAGGTTAGGTTAGGTCAATTTTCATATTTCAATAATATATTATGATACAAATTGAGTTAGAAATATTAGACAATATTACAACAATTTGAATTGTTACAAAAATACAAAAAAACAGTTTTAATTACTAAACAAATTTTTAAAATAAAATGATAGGCAAGTAAAACTAATTCTTTTAGAATAACTCACGTTCCATCCACTTATTTCTAAAATATGTAATGTATCTTTCAGCAACCTCACTATTGGGTGAAAGCCTCGCCTCGTTGGCCACCGCTTCAAAGCCTTCAACTATCCTGTTTGCTGACAAAAGTGCCAGAGCTTTGGATATACGAAGCATAGTATGCAGTGCATTATCAGTCCCAGTCCTGTATACTTGTCTCCGTATGCCAAAGTCTCTTGCATTCTTTTCGAGTGCCTATTTATATAAAAGTTAGTGTTTAAGAAACTTGTTTTAATTTTAATATTATTTAATCATTAAACTGCACAATTCCACAAATCCAAATATCTAAACTATATCTTACAGAATTAAAATTGTTACATTTTTTAGGAAATTTTACTTGGGCCAAATGGAACCAGCATTTCTGCAATCTGACTTTGGGAAAAATGTTGGTCAATGCGTTACTCAACCCTACTTCATAGTCAGTGACAATGTTACTTGCACTAATACCCGGAACACAAGTCTTAATATGGTCCAATACACTAGTGTACGCCGTTTCAGTTTTGCGGGTCATTAATGCGTATGCAACGGGAAATGCCTGTTAAAATAAATAAAATAGTTAGGTATTTACTTTATAAAATTGGTATAATGTATTAAAATATAGCGTTAGGTATGTATTAACGTTTAAACAAAGTTTACCTGGTCCATGTACATGGCCATAATTATCAACAGTTGTTCTGTTTGTAGAACAAGGGGCCTGCTTTTAAACGTGACATATAATATATGAAGTTCTGAGCAGAAGTCAATAGGCTAAAAATTGTTCAAATTAAGATACATGTTGAATATGTCGAGGAGTAGATTTATATTCTAACATTATGTTCTTGACAGTTAAAATTAATTACTTTTCCAGGGATGGAGATATAAAAACGACTGCTGATCCAGGGTCTGGAGGACCCATGACAAACCCTCTGAACATTGCTCGTCCATTAGCAGTTCTGAATAGATGAACGTAGCCAGCATCTACCAGATTACCTGCGTATTCCATCAGATCACCTGGTATTTTAGGTTGCGCTGCAGCTCTAGTCCTTTCCATGGTTCTCAAAAGAGAAGTATACTCTAGGTGATGTTCTACCCCTTGTGTTCTAAACAGTTGATGCGTAAGATAAAAAAAACAATAAATATGTGCAACATTTAAAAAAAATAAAAGTACTGCTTCTGCCACTTCATAATTGTTAAACGAAAAGACAAAATTACTACCTACCTTGATGTCTCTTCTTCATAAATCACTCGAAGTCGAGTACATTCTTCCACACACCTTTGTAAAATATACTGCTTTAAAGTCACTAGGGCTAAATAGTGCATGTCAGGACCATGTGTAGTGTGAGTACGTTTCTCATATAATAAATTTTCCACAATGAGATCTTTAAGAAATTGGTAATACAACTATTTGTAAGTCAATGTGCAAAACTTTTCCACAAAAAATATCATATTTATTACATAAGAAACCTATTTTAATAATTAAAATTGGTGAGAGTATTTACTATTTATATTAGGTGCCTGTAGACTCTTTCATTTTTTCAAATTGTATTTATTAAAACCAACTATTTTAATGTAAATAAAAATATTTCAAAAAATATTACATTACAATTATAATATAGGTAGTACTAAATATTCCTTGGGTATTTTTCAACTCCAGAGAGTGAAACAGATACCTATCTATTACACTACAGTCCTTTTAAAATAACAAAATAATATGCTAAATACTCAAAGGCGTAAATAGTGTTTGAAATTTAGGGGCGGCTGTAGATCAGGTCTCTACTTATAAAGTACGTATAAACTCTTATGATACTTTTAAATTATAGTAGTGAAATCATTAGTTTTTGGGGGGCTATAGAAATTTCAAGGCCCCCCCCTATTTGCGTCTATGTAAGTACTCTAACCTCTAAAAGTTGTGAACTTGATTTCGTCCTAGTTCATTAAAATATTATATAACTTATTTTATCAATATCTTGATTTTATTGTATAGATTTATACAAAATATGCGGATTTAAGAAAACTGGCAATCATTTTTAAATAAGTGACTAAAAGTGTCTTGAAAAGGGGGACTTTTGGACTTAAAAAAAAAAATACTTTTAGTTGAAAAATTTACTTAGTGGCAGCTCTGTTATTATTATATTAGCTATAAAAACTTTTTTTAAATTGTACTTATTAAAACGAGCTAGGTAGTTTAAGGCAAATGTAAATATTATAATAATAATTTTATTTAAATTTTACACAACATTTTTTTTATTCATGATATAGTTTCAACTACTTAGGTTTATACAGTTCATAGCTTAAAAAACAATTATCATATATGAATATTGTATAGAATGTGTAAATGCTTATAATACCTATCAGGCTATAGTGCTTAAATTAAATAATAGATGCGTGTTATTTTTTTTAGAAAAAAAATCTTAAAAAATATTCTATTTCAATTATTAAAAAAATACTAAATATAGTAGGTAGTGAATTTTTCATTTCCGTAAAATGAAACAAATTTCTTTTACACTACTGTCCTTTCAAAAATTCTAAGGAATTTACTAACTCCTGCAATCTACTAACTCAAGAAATAAACTTAGATAACTTGTTACCTACCTATCTAATTCACTAAAAAAAAGTTTTAAGTATAATAAAATGTAGCATAAATACCGGTTACAGAACAGTCTGTTTGTATACATTGCAATGATTTCGAATTTGTTCTCGTACATTTAATTTTGTAAAAATACCCATTGTTACAATGCACAATTGTACTGTTTGATCTGAAGCCTTCAGTCGTGACGAATTCCATTTTATAAATATTAGTAGCTAATATTTCAATTTTTAAATATTATAGTGAATGGAGAGAAAACAAGAATAAAAGTGAATAGGTCAATTCGGTTAAAACCTCAGAACATATAAACGTGAAATGACTAGATGTCAATCGCAAAGCTTGGTAAATTATATTTTTATATACATATATAGTGGAACCTTTAAAAGTGGAATTTTCGATAATTCCAAGGAATCCCATGTCCCTTGCATTTCAATGTTCCTACCTATTACTATATGTATGATAAATTTTCTCGATTATTAGAATTTCTCGATAACTCTAAGACATTTGAGTTGAATTTTGTCTTATAAGTTGAATTGTTTGATAATTGATATACTGAAATACAATATATTATATAGGTCGTATGTATGTTTATGTACATAATTTATTATAATAACGATATTAGTAATCGAAAACCGATTAATTTTATCAATCTTTACATAATACTTAAGAGACCGGATATACGGGTATTTTAAATTCGATTGAATTTAATTGAACACTTTAAAGCTGTGACTATTTGGAAATTAAGAAAATTAAAATATAAATTTCTTTCGAACAAAGCAAATAAATTAGAGTTGTAGTAAAAAGAATCTAGGACAAACTCGTACCGTAGAAAAACATTTACAAAGTATATTAGGTACCTATGTTTAAAACGAGAGAAATTATTATAGGAAACAACTCAGTTGTAGAGTTTGTGTCGACTATGGCCTGCGTTGTATTTTTATTATTACATGCTTTTCTTTAGCTCGCAATGTTTCATTTCTGTTGTCACCAAATCTTGCGAGTTCAATTTAAGTCACTTCTACATGACCTAGGAGGCTCAAATTTTGTATGGAGGTCTAGGGTCGGCGACAATGACCCAGTTGTCAAAAAAAAAATAAAAATAAATACATTTTTTTTAAAAACATGCTTTTCTTAATACTACTTTATACATGAACGAACAAGTTGAAAATAAACTTACTTTTAAAACAATTTCTTAATGAAACTTCAAGGTTATTAAGATATTACTAAAAGTGTTTCTAAAATGTATTTGTTGCAACATTTTTAAAACTTGTGAATTACAAAAAAAACGAAAAGCATGGGGCACTTATGATAACTCCTATGTAAAGTCACTCTACAACTGAATCATTAGATAAACTTTATGATAAATATTTTAAAGATTATTGATCATACTTCCAATTTTGTAAGAGATATTCTTGACTCATAGGAGCCCCATGCATTTCGTTTTTTGTGTTTCACAAGTTTTAAAAATTTTGCAACAAATACATTTTAGAAACACTTTTAGTAGTATATCTTGATAACCTTGAAGTTTCATTAAGAAATTGTTTTAAAAGTAAGTTTATTTTCAACTTTTTTGTTCATGTAAGTAGTATTAAGAAAAGCATGTTTTTAAAAAAATTTTTTTTTTTTTTTCAACATTTTTAAATAAGGTTTCATTGTATAAAATTTAAGAGGAACCTATTGTATTAAATTTTCAAAGTTTTTGACCGATCAAAATTTTTTTTATCGACAATTGTAGAAAAAAAAAATTGATTAAAAATGTCAATATAGTTTAAAAATTATACTATTATGTAGGCAGTGGCGGCCATCCTAGAGTAGAGGTTAATTAGAGGTGGGTGGGGTGGGTTAGTATGTGAATAATACTTTGGAGTATCTTAATATTATAATTTATGGTAACTTATATAGAATGTAGATTGTAATATAGTAGGGTATAGATGTGTTATTTATTAATTTAAATATGGGTAATCTCATTGTCTTGTATCGTATATATAATGTGTGTTTGATGTCTGTACAACAGTCTGCAAGCCTGGATTAAGTGGGGAGGTCTAAGGGGTGCATGGTTAATCTTAATCCCCAAAATATATTTTTTTAACGGGTCCAATACAGTTTTCAAAAAAAAAAAAATTATTTAAGTATGTAGGTATAGTAGGTATAGTAGGTAAATTATAAAAACAATTGTTCTCAATTTTATATCAGGAAAAATTACTATAAATAATGAACTGTTTTACAGCAATTTTTTTTTGTTTGTTTTTTTTTTATTTTGAGCAGTTTAGATTACTGATTTAACTATTTAAGTATATAAAAAGGTTGTTATAAGAAAAAATTATTTAGCTCTTGTAAATGAGGTATTTCAGTCCAATCTCATGTGATGGGTTTACAATTAATTCTTTAAATGAAGCAGATAATGAATTTGAAAATTATTTATTTTCTTCAGATTCTGATTTTGACGAGGATTTTGATACCAATGATCAGCTTAAAATTAGTGGTTCATTTGATATGTTTGAGGACAAAGATTGTATTTTAAAACCATTAGCAAAATGGGCAGTGACTCATAATATCACTCTTATTTCTTTGTCTTCATTACTGAAAGTATTAAAGGTCATAAATGTTTTAAAGATATCCCAGTTGATGCTAGAACTGTGTTAAAAACAAATAAACCATTTCTATTGACAAAGTTGTCAATTGCATCAACACGAGCTGAACAATTATATAACGAATCAATAATAAGAACGAGAAATTGTATTGAAAGAAGTTTTGGAGTGTATAAGCGTAGATTCCCAATTTTATCAGTTGGAATAAATATCCATGTGTCAAAAGTTGAATCAATCATTGTGGCAACTTTAGACCGCAGTGTTGCATAACATTGCTATAGACTTAAATTAAATAGTACCCAATATAAGTACAGAAATGGAAAACGTAATCAATCTATCATTTTTTGAACAAGGGACAGATGAACAAAATTGTCGACCTAATGGGGCAAATGAAATTACAAGAAACATTTTAATTAGATACTTTGAAACAATGTAAAATTTAATTTGTAGTTATCAAGACAAACATGATATAATAATTTAATTTAATATCGATTAACAATTTTAACACATTCGAGACGGTCCGTCATAATCTAAAAGTTACGTTTGAGACGAGTCACGTATCTGGCGCATTACGATATTTTACTTATAAAAGACGAATCACGCGTCTCGCGCGTTGTGTCTACTATCGAATTTTAAAAATCGATATAAAATCATATACTCACACCATTGTTTTCATATGACAATCTATCGATAGGTAATATCGTAAAGATTATTTATATAAAAAGAATACATTATTTGCTCCACGTGGAGCGTCACTGGAATTTGATTCGAAGCGCCTATTGGCTGTTAATAATGGTTGTTTCAATTAATAATTTTATCAAAATAATTTTTCATTATCTTGGACTGTCGTGTGTCGGCTTGACGAAGTTTGCTGACGGAGTTCGTTCCTAAATGGTAATACTATTTTATTTATATCATTTTATTTATATAGACACGTCTTGTTATCGATATATTTCTTAAATAAAATAGACGCTTTATACATTTTATTTTTATACAGAGCGTGATAAGTAAACGATTTACGTTTAATATTTTATTATTTTTAAAGGGAAAAATGTCTAAAAAAATTAACGACAAAGACATAAGTCGTATGTTAGATGAATTTATGGATGATAGTGGATCTGATAGAGAAGATGATGATGTTGATAATAATAGTTCTGACGAGGACACGAGTGAAGCTGTTTATACGAATTTGTAACCGGTTGCATTTGAAAATGAATGTGCAAATCTTTTTGAAAATCTTGTTGAGATGGTTGACAATATTGATAATGATTTAACTGTTCCAATTACTGATAATAGAAGGCAAAATATGAATGAAGTACCAATAGAAAATGTTGAAAGTAATTATAAAAATATAGCTGTGGAATGGGGTTTTGATGACACCATAGACGAAATTCAACATGAAAATTTTATACAAAATCGTGATAATAATGAACCTTTTTTGACAAATAGAGAAGTAGAAAGACGTTCAATTGAAAGTATAGCACCTGTTATATTTGAATGGGAAAGAGTAAATCCTGAACCCCAACCTTACGTATTTACGTCAATGTCAGGTGTCTCAGATGAAGTACTTGGTAAATCAGCTGAAATAGAGTTTTTTAGTATTTTTTTTCCAGATAGTTTAATTAAATTAATTAAAAAAGAAACTAATAGGTATGCATACTCAATTATTCGATCTCTTCGACGAAAAAATATGCTGAAACAAAATTCTATTTGGCATAAATGGAAACCGGTAAATATTTCCGAAATGTATAGTTTTTTTTCAATTATTCTTCATAATATGTCTATAATACCAAAACCACATATCAAAGACTTTTGGTCGAATAATGCATTTATTCATAGCACATTTGCATCAAAGCTAATGACTAGAGATCGTTTCTCATCGATTTTTTCAATGTTGCATTTAAATAATAATGCAAATTATATTTCAAGAGGTAAAGAAAATCATGATAGTTTATTTAAAATCCGTCCTTATATTGATTTAATAAATAAAAAAACAGTTGAGTCATATCAACCTGGTCAAAATTTGACCATTGATGAAGGTATGTGTCCGTTTAGAGGCCGTATACATTTCAGAGTTTATATGAAAAATAAACCACATAAATACGGTATGAAATTATATATACTATCAGATCATCTTACAGGATATACTTTAAAATTTAAAATTTATTCTGGTAAAAATCAAAAAGATAATTCAATAATTGCTTTGTTTGATAGACTTTTAGAAGAGTATTATTATAAAGGTCACACTGTGTACATGGATAGATTTTATACAAGCCCAGCACTTCTGAATGCTCTTTGGGAAAAAAATACAAATGGTGTAGGTACGGTTATATCTAATCGTAAAGGATTACCTAAAGAAGTAGTAAAGGAAAAATTACAAAAAGGTGAAATGACATATGCGAAACAAGGTCCTTTGGTATGTATCAAATGGAGAGATACAAGAGACGTGTTGATGTTATCAATAGCTCATTCGGCCGATATGAAACAAGTCTCAGTTAGATCTAAAACTGGTGAACTTCCAAAGTTTAAACCTAATGCTATTATTGACTACAATATAAACAAAACAGGTGTTGATCACGGAGATCAAATGGTTTCATATTATCCATTTCAGAGAAAAAGTTTAAAATGGTGGAAAAAAATGTTCTTTCATTTATTTATGGTAACAGTCGTGAATAGTTACATAGGTATTGAAGAACAGAGTAAACCAACACAAAAAAATGACATTAAGGACATTTATAATTAATTTGGGCTTACAAATGGCAGAAAAAAAGTGGTTATAATCAAGACAACTATAATGATACGGTTACAAATCGGCTGTCAGGATGACATTTTATTACACGTATACCATCAACAGCATCAAAACAAAACCCCAGAAGAGTGTAAAGTTTGTGCAGATAAAATAAAATATATATGTGGCAAAGAGGAAGAAAAGAAACTTCGTTTTATTGCAAACAGTGTGATACACCGTTATGTATTGAGGACTGTTTTGAAAAATATCTTAATATAAATAATTATTGGTTGTAAATTAAAAATCATTATTAGTATTAAGACATTTTATATAAGCATTTCCAGTAATTTTTTTTAAATTTTTTTTAATATACTACCCATGTAGCCTGAACTAGTATGAGTATTCAGATTATTTTTTATAAATTTGTTTTTATATTTAAGTTTTTTGGTAATAACTAAATTATGTTATTTATTTTGAATTTGTGAATAAAGAAAAATGTTATTTTTGAAGTTTTATATTAAAAAAAAAATTGGTTGACTTTTTTTTTTGTCATTTTAGATTCTGAGCGGAGCGATGAATGTATTGGTTTTACAATGATGTATGTTTTTTTTTATATTTTTATTTATATTTTTGTGTCTGTCATCACGTTTTAGGACAGTAAAAGTGCTTGGATTTTCTTCATCAGTAGCTTTTCTGGTAGGAAAGTGAATCTAGTTGGTACTCTGGGGGGTCAAAAGTATAAATTTCCCAGTAGTTTTCACAAGCGCCGGGAAAAACAACATAAAAATTAAGGAAAAACGGGAATTTTTACGCAAAATTGGTTTTCCAAAAAATCGATTTTGGTTATTGGTGTAACTCTAAAACAAATGAACGTATATACATGAAATTTTCACTGGTTGTTTATATTCGCATTTTCTATACACGATAACATTTTCAAAATATTTTGATTTATTTTGAACTGTTTAGGGACATTTTCATTTTCCATTTTTTTTAGTTTTTTTTCTAAAAATATCAATAAAAATTTATTTATTGGTTGCGAAAGCTTGAAAATTTAATAGAAGGCTCCTAATATGTTGTTTCAAAGGCAGATGAAAAATATTAAAAATCCTTAGTCACAATTTTTTTTTTATAAGCATTTAAAGTTCAAAAATTGACAAAATATGGAAAAATCACGAAAATTAGCAAATTATTTTGAGTTAAGAATTCGTAAAAATTTTTCTTTTAAATCTAAGATTTGAAAATGAAACACAGGATTCCTTATAAGATTATCTACCTTTATCAATAAAAAAATCTCTACCGGACAGTCAAGTTAAATTTTTATGAGAGTTTGAAATTCAAATTTTTACACCATTGGATATTCACTCGATTTCTCATGTGGTGATTTCCTTATTTTGTTGTAATTCAAAAACGAATTACTGGAGATACATGAAAATTTCACTGAATGTTTATATTAGCATTTCCTATACACCATACAATTTTGAAAATATTTTGACTCTTTTTGAGCTGTTTATGGACATTTACAGGTTTCAATTTTTTTAGTTTTTTTTTCTATAAATATCAATAAAGTTTTATCTGTTGGGCCAAAAAGTGTAAAAATTTAATACAAGGCTCCTGATATATTGTTACAATATCAGTTGAAAAATATTAAAAATACATGGGCACGATTTTTTTTATAAGCATTTAAATTTGGAATTTTGACAAAATTTATCAAAATATCGAAAATTATCAATCGTTGGAATTAAAAAATTATAAAATGTTCAGTTTTTATAACTAAGAGTTGAAAATTTAAAACAAAGATTCCCTTAAATAATTCATACTGTAACCAAAAAATCTAAAAAATATATAAACACATTTATTTTTTACAGACATTTTAATTTCAAATTTAGACAAAATTTCATATTTAAACCAAGAGTTACGATTTTAGTTATTTTGTTGTGATTGAATATTATTCGTGGGTACTTGAAACTTCTAAAGTGTACTATTATATATCTATGATAGTATCACGGTTTTTGTTGATGTATAACGCGTTATAAGTATCTAATGGATATTGTGATATGATTAGTTTGGAATTTATTATAGGTACCTATTATAGGTCAATTTTTTGTTTAATACCATAGATATGTATATAATATGTCTTATACATAGACTGACATACCGTCACCGCTCAGAATCGTTTTTCTTATACAATGATATTATATCATTGAATTCAAATTTAATACCATCCATTATACAGTGACCCACTTGTAACCTACTGTACAGCAGAGCGACACCCACTTGCCCACCTTTTTGATTGTGTTTTGACCGATAAGAAAAATATGAAGTATTTAAGTTATGGAAATTATTATTTTTTTTTTAAAACTACAACATTTCTACTATAATATAGGGAAAAAATCGTAAAAGTTGATTAAAAGCGAAAGCATAATAATTGTACGAAAAATGGTAAAAACCGCTCGTCTTAGGGGGAAAAAAAGGAGCGAAAATGTTCCGTCTCCATTGTACATAGTTGTATCACACGCCTCGCGCGTGTTCGTCTCGAATGTGTTAAACAAACAGTATTTTTATAGTATGGTAATTGTATACATATACCTAACTATTGATTTCGAAAAGCCTTTAATTTTAAATCTAAAAGTTCCATTTCTTTGGCATGCTTTTGATTCATAAGCTCTATTCTTTGATCTGATTCTCGTTTTTCTATTTCAACAAAGTTCTTATGTCTGGAATTCATTAATTCAATCTTAACGTTATGCTCCTTTCTCATTAGTTCATCCTGAAGTCCTACTAAGTTTGTTTTGGAAGAGGCCCATTTAGTAAGCTTATCTTGTAATGGACAGTTACGAGCACGACCTACATTGTGATATTTTAACTATTTTAAATACATTTGCAATTATACTTTGGAAACACCTATACATCATTGAAAATCAAGAAATTAATATGTTTAATAATATTTAATAAATTTGTTACCTTGGACAATTTTAAATTTTCATCAAGTTTCTAAATCATTATAATGGAAATGTATGTATACCACAAACAAACTTACTCTACAAAAATAACATTAACATTTATTTTCAATATAATATAGTTGAAAATGTATATAGAATTATATATATATTTATAGAAAATTGTTGAAAATTTAAAATTGTCCAAGGTAACTTAATATTGATAAATTCATTAAAACTTTTTACTTTCTTTATTTTAATTAAGTAAGTATGGTCAATGAAATTAACTTAATTTTAAAATTTTTAAGTTTTTACTAAATAGGAAAAAATAATAGTTAACTGATAGTTCATTACAATGATCTTGTCAATTAAATACAAAATGTGAAATTAAAAAAATGTGTTTAGAACACGGATATGGGTAAAACGTTTTATGAAATATGAAATTATAAAGTTAGGTACTTACTACTTAATAAAAAAAAATATTTCATTATTATTATTATTAAACTATACTATACTACGTATTATTATCAAAGTTTAACATTTCAATACAATCTACCAACATTTTCTTATTTTTAAATTTGTTTAAATTAATATTTAACTTTCTACAAAACTCAATATTAATATCAATACCCATAATTTACATGTAATGTATGCATTATTCATGTTGAGGCATAAATTAATTATCATTTTTTAAGTGTTTTAACATAATATAATACAATACAGTTTTTAGTTATATTTTAGTATTTTTGAATTTTACAAAATTAATAGATACTATTTTATGTAGGTATGCAATATGCATTATTATTATTCAATTTAAAAAGAGCAATATATTAGGTTAGTAAATTAGGTATATATTTAGTAGGTACCTATATAGATCTACCTTTACAACAGTAACATTATTTTTTTACCTTTAATTTCTTTTTGAATAGGTACATTACCAGAAATTTGAAGATCATCTACTACAGTCTCCATAATGTCTTTATCTTTCAAAGTTTCAGCTCTGTAGTCAACTAAAAATAAAATGGATAATAGATCAACATATTATAAATCAACATAACCAGTAAGGTTTGTAACGAGCTGTGACTACGTATATATTAATAATAGTAATAATATATATAATATTATATTGTATTAGGATAATATATATATTATATTCAACAATAGACGTAAATGCTACAGGGAACGCGTAATAGTAATAATATCAGCATCCGAGCGGTTGCATTAGAGAGAACTAATTAATAACGGCCACATCAATAAGAACACGTGATAAGTATAAGCGCGCAATATCCTTATACTAGGAAAAGATATTCTAGGAAAGACATATCCTAGGAAAGGAAGTTTCTAGGGAACATTTAATCGGTAGTTAACATTGTTTTCGTAAAAGACGTCAGAAATGACCTCAGGCGGATACGGCGTGTGTACCATTATTATACTAAAAATGCCATAGGAGGGATCTATTAGGAATACCGACGAGATACGTCGATGGACAAGTGTCCATCAGACGAACACCAGCCGAGACGACGAGCACCAGCAGAGCAGCCACCAAGTCGATACTAAGTCACATCTCGTTTACCACATTTTTATGAATTGATTATTTGGACTTAGTCTATTTTACGTGGTAAATAAATACTACTAAACTATCATTATAAAATCAACTTGTTATTTTATTCAAAATACAATCAATACTGAGTTGAAGTGGTTGGCACGTTACAGGTTTTTATCTACCCTCAATCACTGGTTCTCCTTCACTATCTATATTTTCGGGTTCTTCATTAAAAGATACATCAAACATATTTTGTTGAAAGACTGGTTGAAGTACATGAGAGGGACGAGTTCTTAACATGTCTGGACTATATTCAGACCAATCCAAAACTACATCAATTGGTTTCAATCCAGTATTTGAGGCCAAAATCATACCACTATTACTACTCGAGTTAATAACATTACTTGTTCCCGGTATGGTAAGATTCCTGTCATCATCAAACTTTGAATTGAAACCAGTCATCTGATTCCCAAGAATTTCCTGAAGCTCTGATTGTATCTCTCATGGAGAGGTGGTTTTTGCAGGTCCTCCACTAGTACCACGTAGGTATGCTCTTTCATCAGAAAAAACTTTTTTGCCACATTTTTTTATGTTTTCATACTTACTACGAAGAGTTTTGGGTGACCGATAACATTCACCACAAACACTGTTAAATTCTATAGCTAATTTTTCATATGAAGCTGCTTTTAATTTGTTTGAGTTTATGTCTGTTCTTTTGCATTCGATCGTTGAAGCATATTTCTTAACCAGAGCGAGCAAAGCTTTCTCTTCTTTGTAGGAAAAGTTAGTGGCTCTTTTTTTAATTGGAGTCATTTCTTAATAATTTTTATGTATTAGAAAATTATGTTTTATATGTATGAAATAAAATAAATTTATAAAACTTTAAAGTATAAAAGAATAAAAGATTAATATTAATCTGAAATTCTAAATTAATGTTTTTAATTATGCTATCATATCAATTATCAACCAAGAAGTGATAATGCACTGATAATAATAGTATTGATGTGGTGTAGTTGTCCCAACGTTCATAGAATCCACTGACCGCTCTGATAAACCTAGTTTAACTATCTGTAGTTTAAACTACCATTGAACAACATGGAACATTGTAACTTCGGTTTAATTTTTAAACCAAGTTTAGATAATCTCTAGTTTAAACTAGACTGGTACAACTGGCCCTAAGAGTTTCATTTTATCTGTAAAAGGTCACGCTGGATATTCATCCTGTATAAGATATAGAAGGAGAACGTATAAACAATACAACATGTTTTTTGGGAACCAACTTTTCTAAAAGAACTCATTCGGATTTCTTAAATCGTGTGGATGATGATCACCATATCACTTCTACTGTTTCTATACCTACTGAAATACCAGATATAAATATAGTTGAAGATTTTAGTCTTGACTATATGCATTTGGTATGTTTGGGGGTTATGAAAAAAATGCTATTACTCTGGTTAGGTGTATCAAAAAATGCTCCCGTCAATGTCCGTATCCCAAGTTGAAGTAAACAGTATTTAAAATCATTTATTATTATTGAATACGTTTGTACCGAGTGATTTTTCAAGAAATGTAGAGGGTTAAATGAAATTTGCCGGTTTAAAGCAACTGAGTTTAGATTATTTTTATTATATACAGGATCTGTGGTCTTAAAATATATTTTAAATAATGAATGTTATTGTGTATATATGTGTTTACACATCAGTTTTAAAGTTCTCTTATGTCCTGGTAGTTCTGAAAAGTTAGTGAATTTCAGTAAAAAACTAATTAAATATTTTTTTGAAAATTTTAGTGAAATATATGGTCCTCAGTTTATTTCTCATAATGTGCATGGATTACTGCACATAGTTGACGATTATAGAAAATTTAAGTCGCTTGAATAGTGTTCATGTTTTAATTTCGAGAATTACATGAAAGTTTTAAAAAAAGGTCCGGAAGCACGAAAAACCACTTGAACAAGTTATTAACCGCTACCATGAATCTTTATTATTTAACCAACCAATTGTTTTGAAATCTCAAAAAAAAAAATATTTATAATAAACCTTACAGTTATGAACCTTCAGTATTTGAGCACTTAACCGTTCCATATTTCCAGGTAATTTTCAAAAAAAAATATTAAAATAAATATTAAGTCTTCATCTGACAGCTATATTGGGTTCACAGACGAAACAGGTCTTAAAATTTTTAATGTTTTTAATATATGTCGTGATTTGACAGAAAAATATGTTTTTGTAGTTAAGCATTTTGAAACTATTGGCATTATTTGTGATAAACCCATCAGTAGTCTTAAATTAGGTATTACTGTGGTAAAAAATTTATCAGGATTTTATTCCACCATAGACATTGAGAATACTGAATTTGTAAAATATATGATATTATGGGCGGAACCGTTTTCGGCCAAAATGAACCTTTCCCTTTCCGGCCAGTTCACTTTTCGGCCATTCTGGAATGTCAGTTTTCGGCCAGTACGCTATTTTGGTCACCAATTAAAAATTATGTCTTTGTAAAAACATTAGTTAAAATATGAATGGTAAGACTCGCATGCATTTGTTGTTCTAGTTAAATCAGAAGAGCCAGATGCAGAAATAGTAGGAGGAAATATGCTTTCCTCACTAATATAAGTGTCTGTTAAATAGTCACAGTATGATTTTAATTTATCATCATCAGGACATATTGACATTAAATCTTCAATAAAACAATCTTCAACATCTCCAGGGTTCAAAAATAATTGTCCAAAAGTATATTTTATCCAGTTTCCAATATCTGAAAAATCGTTTTTATATTCACTTACCAATCCTAAGCTTTGGACTTGACGAAACAAAGATTGGGTTAGATGAAATCTACAGCCGATAATTTTTGAGTCTGGCCATATTTCTACGATAGCTTTATGTATTGATATCTCAAAATCAACTGTCACATATTTTGGAGAAAATAATAAATTACATTTATTAACAATGGAGCGAAGCGTAATGAGTATGTTTAAATCGACTTGTCTGGCAGTAAACAAAAAATAAGAGGAATATAATGGCCATTCTTCAATCCATGGATAGTGAACATTTGCAAGAAAAATCTTGAACAGTATTTAAAAGTCCCATCCATATAAATGTTAGATTTTGAAACGGTACTTGCTATGAAATAGTATAGCCGTTTACCATGAATATGAATACATCTGTTATTTATATATATAATTAGTGCTTTATTTCTATTTAATTTTATGTATTACAATATTCGGGGATGGGGAATGTTGTTTTCCCGTTAATATTTATATAATATGAAAGGAGTTTTGCTATTGGCACAAAACAGTGGATGGGACCGATAATTTTATTAGGCCCGCTCAAATAAGTGGCGTCTAATCACAATCTCTGTTTGGGTCGAGCGAGGCCTAGGCATGCGCGCTTGGGGGGACTTGTTTATCAGTGCTGTCCTGAAAAGAACAATTTATTTCACAACCTGATACGTATTCTAGTCGTTTACCCAAATGGTGAACTCTTGTCTCTGGTTGATTATTTATTCTCTTTGTCTTGTAAAGCCCTCGTTGCTGGCCGCTCCGCCTGGCCAAATATCTATGTCGCACGAAACTCTTAATGGCGCATCGAGTATCCGCGTCGAAGTTCCGGTCTAAGCTTTTCTCCGACGTCGGATATAACGAGAGGTTACCACACTTAGTTGATTCCGTGGACAAAGATATACAGGCCGAAGTTAACCTACGGTGTTATGGAATTGCCGCTGGACCGTACGACCGATTTGTGGCGATACTCTGAGAGAGTTGCACACGGGATCGTACCTGTCGTCGTTCGCTGGTCGGGGCACTTGAACGCCGTGGACCGGAATCGGCGTCGTCGTTGGACCGTACGATCAATTTGTGGCGATGCTCTGAGAGAGTTCCACACGGGATCGTACCGGTCGTTGTTCGCTGGTTGAATCTCTTGAGGTTTCTTCGGGTCTTCAGTCTTCGTTGTAGATTAGTCGAAGCTTGAAGAAGGAATGAGAGTGTGATGATGTGTTTATGCCGAATCTTTCTAGTATAAATACTACTATCCGTACCGACTAGTAAACCCATCCACTATCCGGGTGCATGTTGTGTTTTCTCTCGTGATGGATTTAGTGTTATCTCTGAAGTTTTTGGGGTTACAGTCATGGGGAAGGTATTGTTGTCTTCGTCTTTACTTCCCCTATCCGTTGATGTAGTTTTGATGTTTATATGATGTACGGAAGTACTTGTAATTCCTTTCTAAGTCCAAAATGTGGTGTTTTACTCCCATTCTGTCCTGTGATTGGTTGTACTCGTCCTGCGTTGCGATTGGCTGTCGTAAATAATAGTTGTTGGCTCTGTTAAGAGCTTTTTTTGTAATAATTATATTTATGTTCCGTTACAATTTGTTTGACATGAAAACACAATTATATGTTTTTCTGAATCGTTTAATATTAAAAATGACTCACCGCTCATAGTTTTTATGTCTAGATTTTCCAAAGCTTCGTGTACCTCTTGAATAGAAGTTGGATTTACTGGGAGCGTTTTCCGACGATGTTCATATAAATTTTTCCGTAAACACTTAATGTCTGTTTCATTAAATTCAGAACAATTATTCTGTTGAATTTCTTTGAAAATAATTTTTTTTGGTCGAATAAATATGTCTTCTGCGGCCTTTCTTTTACAACTTGTATTAATTATTTGACGATAAATAATTTTAGTTTCATGTGGATTATGATTATGATCTATCATATGATCATTTTCGTTTTCATTTTCATTATTTTTATTATTTATGATTATTTATTTATATTTTAACACTGCACGATCGAACCACACATTTCCACCGCGTTGTTCCATCAAGTTTAGTGTTTGCATACGAAATTTATAATTTTGAAACACTAACATACGTTTACCACGATTACTTTCGATAAATGTTGTCATAGTGTATAAAAAAAATAAACTAATTTAAGTACACACCTGACTCTATTAAGACTATACGAACACACCGTAGTACGTACCTACACACACTAAACAGAGTTATGGCTTATGATCAATCGATATAATAGAACGAAGATAACGATGAAAGATATTCTATACGCCTAGATAGTTGTTAGTTATTACTTTTATCGACCGTCAACCTATAGATTCAACGTATACGTAGATGTTGGATTCCCAACTATAATTAATAATGACTCTTAATATTGTTGTGAACCCCTGTCTGTATGCTATACGCAGTATGAGATATAGTAATAGTATAATATAGAATAGTGTGTAAGCATATTAATGTGTGAACAGACATAGTCACACGGACTAAGGGAATTCGCTGTGTGGACGGTTTTGAGCCCGAGCGAGCCCCTACCGTGTCTCGCTGTCTGTGTAATAGACAGTGTAGAACTGGCAGACCATCGAGCAGAACCTCTGTTAAATTACTTAAGTCTAATAAGTATTCTGTACAACTAAATTTCTTTTAAAATTGATTATATTAATAAAGTATTAGTGATAACTCATACACCACGTATTTCTTTATTAGCGAACAAACTCGATTGTGGAGACGTCCATAACAATATAGAGAATATGCGTGCATGTGATACTGTTCAAACATATCTATGCAGCTTATCACCCGGTGATAAGCTGATCGCGCACACCGCACACACACACACACACACACACACACACACACACACACACACATACGAAAGCGACCGCCGATCAGTAACGACCGTACCACCAAGTCGACAGTGCGCCCGTGTGCAGTCCCTGTTAACTTAAAGTCAAGACCACCGTTATCCGTCACCCATCTACCGTCTACCGTCTACCGTTATTGTCACCGTCTACCGTCATCCGTCACCTACTCACCGTCATCTGTCACCTACTCACCGTCTACCTGTACCTGTTTACCATCCACCGTCAGCCGGGACTGCAGCCGCCGTCACGGTTTTTATGTCTATACTTTTATATACCTTATTTATTTATACTCAATTATTGTAGCGTTAGTTAATTATTCCCCTTTGCTGGCCAGCACCTTTTGTGCCACTTATACAACATTTACCTATATTTTTTTCTTGTTTAATAGTAAGCCGCAAACCGGCATTGATTTGTATCTTATCGAGTCTGATTTATTGCGTAGCCTTTACCCTGCCCAATCTAAAAAATACAGTCCACTTCATCCTTCGATACCAAACATTTGGTCCATCGAGCCTAGGATTATTATTATAGTTCTAAGCGATTGAATTACACCTAGGTACCTATTTGTTAAAAAAAAAAAAAGTTATTACGTAAGCACCGATAGTTAATAGGCCTGTTAGTATTATATAACTTATTATATAAGAGTGTGAACCAGTGTGCGAGAAATTGTACTTTGGACTTTAGCATCATAACAGGTAAAGACGGTATACACAGCGCCGCCGTAAACGAAGACAAACCGGATTGCGAACACAACGCGTTGCACATCATCCCATCGTATATATATACCTCCGTACAAACATATCGCGTAGTAGGTAGCTAAACACATATTAATACGTAATTATAAAAACGATTATAATTATTTAATCAACCATGGGGGTATACGAAGAGGCGAAATTACGTATAGCTAGTCTGCAGTGTAAGGTACAACGCGTACATGATGCGGGGGTGGCAATTGAAGCAGATCCGACCAACAAAACGGCGAAAACCAAATTTAAAATAATGTATGCGACACTTGAAAGTGTAGCGAATGATTTCGAAACACAGTTAACGATCATTATAAAACATCAATGCAAAGGGCCACCCTCGTCGGACGCAGTTATCGAGGAAAAACTGCGTATGGAATTCGAGGAGAAATATGTGGGGTGTAAAATCTTCGCTGATGAATACCTACCTGAAGCCATGACTGATGCGTCACTTAATAAAACATTTATTGAAACAAAAACCCATGTTAATCCTAATAAGTATTATCCAATCGAAAAATTATCCATACCCAAGTTTGGTGGTGGCCCAAAAGAATATATTAGTTTTCGGAACATGTTTGACAAAACAGTAGGGGAAGCAGATATATCGGCGATTTTTAAATTTAGTCACTTAAAATCGTATTTAGTTGGAGAGCCTCTGAGCTTGATAGGGAATTTAATGCTGACCGATAGCAATTATGATCTAGCCTTATCACAAATCGTCGGGTCATAGCCGGAAACCATATCGAAGAGTTGTATAATGCTCCGAAAGCATTTATTAGCGATGGAAGTTCTATCAGAAAACTATTGAATATTATTGTCGAGTCAATCGGTGCGTTATCCAATCTATCATACGCAGTGGACCAATGGGACCCGATTATTTTACATTTACTTCAAAAAAAACTCGACCAACCACTTCGATCCCAATGGGAATTATTGGTGGATACAACGGAAGATCCCACCGTGACAGAGTTCACTACTTTTTTGACTAAGTATTGCAAATCTGCAACCGTTTGTCAAGAAATCACCAAACCGGTAACCAAAGTTTACAAACCAGGAAAAACGACCACCCTGTTCAGTAATCATCATGCAGGAAAAGCCACGCCAGAACAATTAGAGAAAAAGACATTTACCTGCCAAGTGTGCAAAAGTCAACCAGGACATTTGCTCATACATTGTCCACTGTTCAAGGAGAAAACGCCGACCGAACGCCATCAAATTATTAAGGATTTGGGGCGATGTTTTAATTGTTTTAGTGCGCACATGGCTAGTGAATGTAAAAATCCAAGGAAATGTGCTGAATGTGGTAAAAAACACCATTCCTTAGTACATCTTCCTAACGCGGTAGAAACAGTCACTTCTGCACATATTACTGTCGCGGCATCTGAGACAAAAGGTCTTCGTACGTCTGTTCTGTTGGCGACCGCTGCAGTAATTATTCAAAGTGAGAATGGAGAGACCATCAAGGTGAGAGCTCTGCTAGACAGTGCAAGTCAAAGCAGTTTCATCACTGAACGATGCGTAAAGTGTCTAGGTTTAACTCGAGGAAAGTGTGACATTACAGTGCAGGCTCTATCTGGTACCCAAGTTCCAATGGTGAGAGGACGCGCTAACGTGAACGTGCATCCGGTTGATTGTGACAGCCCACACTTTAACGTTGATGTTCTCATCTTACAACGTATCACTGGTTCTGTTCCATCGGAACGTATGTGGGAAAAAGCGTGGCCGCATACAGGTGGTTTGAAGTTAGCCGACCCGGAGTACGCTCAAGCACTACCGATCGATTTGTTGCTGGGTGCAGATGTTTTTCCATACCTCATATTGGGAGATAAAAAAGAGGGTGACGTTGGTCAGCCGATAGCCTTGTCAACCGTTTTTGGATGGGTCCTCATGGGAAAAGTGTCTACTGCGCCGAAAAGCAAAATCGTAACCCTATGTGCGACCATCGATTCCATCGATCGAACTCTGCAGCGGTTTTTAGACATCGAAGATATACCAACAGCCGTTAAAAGTAACATTGGTGATGCGGAATGCGAAGAAATATATCGTTCAAGTACCACGCGTCAACCAGATGGACGATATGTTGTGCATTTACCGTTTACACAATATCCGCCATTTCTGGGGAAATCCAAAGATGTGGGTTTAAATCGCTTACGTCAGTTAGAAAACCGATTTAAGAAATCATCAGAACTTCACAGTGATTATAACAACGCCATGAAAGATTATTTGGATTCAGGTCACATGTCTAGAGTGACCGTCAATCTGGGAAAAGAGGAAAACGCCTATTATATCCCTCACCAAGCTGTCTTGAGACCGGAGAGTACCACCACGAAAATGAGAATAGTGTTTGATGCATCTGCAAAGACGACCACAGGTTGCTCACTGAACGATAAGCTTTTCTGTGGCAAAAAACTTCAACAAGACTTACCAGCCATTATACTACGTTTTCGGTTACACCCTGTGATATTTACCGCGGACATAAAACAAATGTTTCGTCAAGTGGTTGTCACAGAAGAACACCGACCTTACCAACGATTATTATATCGATTTTCTTTGGACGTACCCGTGGAAGAATTTCAAATGAACACTTTAACGTTTGGACAAAAATCGTCTCCATTCCTAGCCATTCGGACTTTACACCAATTAGTGGAGGACGAAGCGGCAAACGATAAACATGTACAAAAGGTTGTATTACACGATTTGTACGTCGACGATGTAGTCACAGGTGCCGAGACCGAAGACGCGGCGATTGAGCTTCAGAAAAAGCTAATAAACGTTTTTTCCAGGGGCAAGTTTGAATTGCGCAAGTGGTCAAGTAATTCCAATCATCTGCTACAACAAGTACCCCCAGAACACCGGCAATCCCAGCCAGTTACATTTGCTGAACATGGGTCGGAATATACAAAAGTTCTTGGACTGAACTGGGACCCAATAAACGACTCACTCAGTTACCAATACCAACCAAACCCAGTGAAATACAGTAAGCGTGCTGTGTTGTCAGAGATTGCCAGGATTTACGATCCTCTTGGACTATTGTCTCCAGTTACGACGGATCTCAAAAAGCTAATGAAATACCTTTGGCTAATGGAAGTGAGCTGGGATGAACCACTACCCGAAGATGCAGCAGCTGCATGGCTAAAATATCACCAAGAGTTACCGGTGCTAACGACCTTACGAATTAACCGGCATGTCACCCATCCTTACGCCACATACGAACTTCATGGGTTTAGTGACAGTTCGGAAGCAGCTTATGCTGCTGCGGTGTATTTACGCGTAACAATGGAGAACGAAGAATCGTATTGTCACCTCTTAATGGGCAAATCAAGGATAGCACCGGCGGCAAAAGTATCCATACCGCGATTGGAGTTATGCGGTGCTGGGCTTCTAGCACGATTGTTGTCTTTCATGCAAGCGAATATGACACTCAAGTTTGTAAGCGTAACGGCATGGACCGACTCTACCATAACCTTAGCTTGGATAAAGTCACCCACGGCTAAACTAAAGACATTTGTTGCTAACCGAGTAGCAAAAATCCAGCAGTTGACTGACGTGAATATATGGCGCCATGTACCATCCGAGCTGAACCCCGCGGATTGTGCGTCACGTGGATTGTCTCCTAGGGAGCTATCTGACCATGCACTTTGGTGGAAAGGCCCAGAATTCCTTCGAAAACCGACAGATACCTGACCGGACGAAGGAGTAATGACTCCCGAAGCACGGCAAGATGAAGAAGGAGAGAAAAAACCAATTACTCTGATCACGCTGGTCAAAGCTGAGGAGTGCCCGATACTAAATCAGTCGGAAAATTTTCCCAAACTATTAAGACTTACGGCATATTGGTTACGATTAAAAGATCATTTTTTACATAAAACCAAGTTCCACAACCCTATACCAACCACAGAAGAAATTAACAGAGCATTGTTAGCCCAGGTGCGCTGGACTCAGCAAACATTCTTTGGAGAAGAGATACACCACCTGAAGAACAATAAAACATGCTCCGTCCGACTCCGAAAGTTGTCCCCATTTCTGGACGGTCAAAATTTAATCCGGGTGGGAGGTCGTCTAGTCCATGCGAACATTCCATACGCAGAAAAACACCCCCTGCTACTACCAAAATCTCCACGTTTGACCATGCTGTTAATTGATCACGCGCATCGTACCAATGGTCACCCGGGACCCCAAACGTTGCTAAATATTTTATGTCAAGAATACTGGATAATGTCAGCTCGCAGTATCGTCAAGAGCAGATTACATAAATGTATACCGTGCTTTCGTGCCAAACCACGGATTATACAGCCAATTATGGGAAATTTACCGAGACATCGAGTAAACGAAGTTAAGCCCTTTGGCAAGTCTGGTGTGGATTTTGCAGGGCCGTTCGAAGTAAAAGCTGCGATATTGCGGAAAATTAAGGTTACTAAAGCCTACATCTGTATTTTCGTTTGCTTGGTAACAACCGCCGTCCACATCGAGTTAGTGTCCGACCTGTCTACCCCTATGTTTATTGCCGCTTTCAACCGATTCGTGTGCAGAAGGGGTAAATGTACAGATATATTCAGTGACTGTGGCACTAATTTTGTCGGAGCCCAGCGATATTTGAAACAAATCTATGATATGACCCGAGAGACGAGATTCATTCATAACATAAGTCACCATCAAATCCAATGGCATTTTAACCCGCCTGCTGCCCCTCATATGGGAGGTATATGGGAGGCAGCGGTGAAATCCGCCAAAACCTTGCTGCACCGAATCATATCTGATCGTGTTCTCACCTATGAGGAGTTGAACACTGTCCTTCATCAGGTAGAGGCAACGCTCAACTCCAGGCCGTTAGGTGCCATGTCATCTGACCCAAGTGACTTCAAGACTCTCACCGCTGGACATTTTCTTACCATGGGACCACTCGTCACCTTGCCATCGCCTGAAGAACTGACTAACCCTACGGCCTCCATAAGCCCTCGAAACCGTTGGTCACTTATTCAGCAGATTCATCAACACTTCTGGTTACGTTGGAACAAAGAATACCTCCATACCCTGCAAGAGCGACCGAAATGGGCTCATCAAAATGTAAACTTGCAAGAGAATGATTTGGTGATTGTTAGAGAACCTTCCCCCCCACTAACTTGGATTACAGCACGAGTAGTCGAAGTGCACCCTGGCACAGATGGAGTCGTCAGAGTAGCAAAAGTAAAAACAGCACAGGGAAAGCTCCTTACTCGACCGGTGGTCAAGCTCTGTCCGTTACCTTTGAGAGATTGAAGGTTCGTCCCTTCAAGGTGGCCGGCATGTTCAAACATATCTATGCAGCTTATCACCCGGTGATAAGCTGATCGCGCACACCGCACACACACACACACACACACACATATGAAAGCGACCGCCGATCAGTAACGACCGTACCACCAAGTCGACAGTGCGCCCGTGTGCAGTCCCTGTTAACTTAAAGTCAAGACCACCGTTATCCGTCACCCATCTACCGTCTACCGTCTACCGTTATTGTCACCGTCTACCGTCATCCGTCACCTACTCACCGTCATCTGTCACCTACTCACCGTCTACCTGTACCTGTTTACCATCCACCGTCAGCCGGGACTGCAGCCGCCGTCACGGTTTTTATGTCTATACTTTTATATACCTTATTTATTTATACTCAATTATTGTAGCGTTAGTTAATTATTCCCCTTTGCTGGCCAGCACCTTTTGTGCCACTTATACAACATTTACCTATATTTTTTTCTTGTTTAATAGTAAGCCGCAAACCGGCATTGATTTGTATCTTATCGAGTCTGATTTATTGCGTAGCCTTTACCCTGCCCAATCTAAAAAATACAGTCCACTTCATCCTTCGATACCAAACAGATACAGTTATTAAAAAAAATATTTTTTCCTATAACTTTTTGTTCTTTTTTTTGTAAATTGATAATATTATAATGTATCTGTATTAAATATAACTATAATATATGATAGCTAAATAAAAAAAAAAAAAATATTTTCAATTGGTAACCAAAATAGTGTACTGGCCGAAAACGGACATTCCAGAATGGCCGAAAAGTGAACTGGCCGAAAAGGGAAAGGTTCATTTTGGCCGAATAGTGTCCCGCCCGATATTATATACCCAGGTAGCAAAATAACAATATTATATCATTATAATAAAGTTACAAACGTAATAATTAATATTACACAATAATTATTAATTGAATATAATTACATTACAATAATATAATTGTATTAATATAGTATTATTATTTGGCAAGTTTGAAATTATTAAAATAACATTTCAAATATATCATTTTTATAATAATATAAAAATAATAATATTTTTGAACTTCAAATATAATGTTTTTATAATATTACAAAAAAACCATATTAATATATTTTTTAAACATTATTAATAATATTTTTTGCCAATCGTTTGAGACCATTAACCTGGAAGAATAAAATTAATATAGCTGATTTATTATTATAATTTTTTTATTTGAAAACAAATTAAAGGGAAATCATACAACATTTTGAATACAAACTATCCTAAAAATAATTACAAATATACTTTGAATCTATAAAATCTTAATAAGCTTAATAGCTTTTAAAATCAGCCAGGTATTATAGTGTTATTTAGCTTGGGAGTTTTCTTTATCATTCTTCACTTTATCTGGCATACATTATGTACTATATTTTTTAATTACTATTTAAAATGTATTGTTTTAAATGTCTTATTAGTTATTAGGCAAACTTTATTTCCTTTTCATACTAATTGATTTTTAACGCTTAACGCTTTTTTTTTCTAAACATTATTCAGGTAATTGGTGATGAACTTGTTGAAGCTAGTACATCAAATGAATTGTATAAATTAAGTGGACATAGTTATACTGATGATATATCTTATTATGTAGGGAAAAATGTAAATTAATTTGTTTATGAACGAAAATTTAAATTTTAACTAATTGTATTACCTGATCTTATACCAATAATTAGTTTTAAATTATTTTATTTTAGTTAACTGATAATGAAAAGTTAATAGCAATAGAAAAACTATGGTTTCCTAATCCTGATTATAAATTTCCTAAATCTGGAAATAGGAACTTAAAATTTCAATACTCATGGTTGCTTCAGTTTAAATGGTTACAATACTCAAAGGAGCAAAACGGAGCATATTGTAGGATATGTGTATTTTTTAGTCATGATACAGTAGGGAAAGGGGCCCATCAGACTTTGGGAAATTTAGTGACAAGTAAATTTGATAACTGGAAAAAAGCTATTGGTGCTAAAGGCCAATTTCAAATGCATGGCAATACAAATTACCATAAGACATGTCAATACAAATATGACAATTATCTTGCTGTGAAAAACAATAAAGTTGACTCTGTGGAATTACAAATAAATAATGCATTGAAAAAATAAATAGAAAAAATTAGGAAATGCATTCTACCAATAATTAAAACTGTTCTATTTTGTGGTAGACAGGGAATCGCACTTAGAGGTCATCGGGAAAATAAACCACTTATTAATCAAAATGACACAAGTACTGAATTAGCTGTTACTAATGATAATAATGACGGAAATTTCAGACAATTATTAAGGTTTAGAATAGATTCTTAAAGATCTTGAAGATCATCTACAAAATAGTGCTAAACATGCACTATATGTTAGTTGGAAAATCCAAAATGAGATTCTTATGGTGTGTAACAATTTAATTCTAAAACAACTTGTAAAATATATAAATAAATCTTAAGGGTTCACTGTAATAGCTGACGAAACAACTGATATATCAAACAAAGAACAGTTGACAATAATATGTACGAGATACGTTCATACTGAGCAAAAAAACATTCGAGAAGATTTTTTGCAGATTGTAGAAGTCAAGGAAGTCACTGGACAAGCACATGCAACAACAATTTTGCAATGTTTAAAAAGTATTGGATTGGAAGTAAAATATTTAGTTGGTCAAGGGTATGATGGGGCAGCAGCAATGTCTGGTAGGTTTAACGGTGTGCAGGCACACATTAGAAACGACCATCCTATGGCATTATATATGCATTGCGCATCTCACTGCCTTAACCTTGCAATACCATACAGCTGTAATGTAGCAGATATTAGGAATTCTATGGGGATAATGCAATCAGTGTGTACATTTTTCGGATATCCTAAAAGACAAAATATTTTACAAGAGTCTATTAAAAACATAGTACCAGAATCTAAATCATCAAAACTAAAGCAATTTTGTGCCACAAGATTGGTAGAACGTCACGATGCAGTATTGATATTTCATAAACTTCAGCCTGCCATTATTAATGCTCTATATGAGATATATAAATTGAGAGATATAGATTCATCTACAACAGCGAACCAGTTAAATACCTCAATACATCAGCTAAAATTTCAAATTTCTCTGAGTATTTTAGTGAAAATATTTTCATTGAGCGCACCATTGAGCAAATTCCTCCAGTCTGAAAATTTGGACCTAGAAACAGTTTTGAATTTTGCTTGTCAAACACAGTATGCAGTTCAAAATATCAGAGATAATGTTGACAACGAATTTCATTCCATATTTCAAGAAACTAAAGATACTTGTAATGAATTAAATATTAATATATGTGTTCCAAGAATCACAGGCAAGCAGTCAATGAGATGCAATGTAGCCACTGACTGTCCAGAAAATTATTATCGTGTTTCCTTATTTATTCCATTCATTGACAATTTCTTGGACCAAATGAAAAATCAATTTATGGAACACCAAACCATATTAAAAAGTTTCATTTGTCTATAACCAAAGCCAGGAGTAAAAGTTGTTAGTAAAGAAATTCAACTCGAATTTAAGGAAATTTTAAATTTGTATGCTGACATATTAAATTACTGTTCTGATTCTCTTTTAAGTGATGAAATGAGTTTTGGAGAATTAGACTTATGGTACCAAAGTTGTGATTACCAGAAAATTTTTACAGATTAATAGAAAAAATCTATTTTTAAACTGAGTATTTATCGAATACTAATAACCGAACGATCTATAGTGGGTACAGAACATTTGTGATTTCAACCAAACCCTGTGATAATAACAACAAATAATAAGGTTTTCCCGTTATTATTAGATAGTAGATAAGCCGATAGTTGATAATGAGTAGGCGAGAGGGTGGTGGATGCCGACGATTATGGTCAGTGCGGATTGCGGATTGACTCATGTCTCATTTTACATTTGACTCGTTTAGCGTTTAATTCGTTTAAGCAATTCGCCTATTCGGTAACTTTGGTGCTGACTGGTGACGCTGCTTGCAATTTTGACTTTTGAAATTTTTATGTTTAAGTACTATTAAATAATAATATTACTGACGCTGTTGGCAATTATAATTTGAAATTTTTATATCACACATTATTATATTTTTCTAAAATAAATAATATACAATATAGTAACTACCTATATATTACAATAGCAGACCGCGATGCAGTTGACTTTCTAAAAGCCTGGAGTCTAGACTCTAGAGCAATACATTGAAGTTTTTCGTGGTAAGTACATCTAAATATTTGATACGTTTACAGTTTACTCAATAGCATAGGGCCCCAACATTTTTTCCCCGGAGACCACGTGTCCACGTGACATATAGGGAATAGTTGACAAGGAACTGATCAGTAAACAACCTCATCATAATACGCCGAACACTATTGCCAAGATCCTTATTTCCAATCAGCAATGCAATTCTATGAACCTATATAAGTATAAATAATATTTATATAGTATGAAGAATACTGCAACAATATTAATTTAAAAACTATTAATAATTATAATAATACTGAATTATTACCAATACACGTCTAAACTCAGGATCTTTTGTTTTATTTTCTAAGGCTCTCAGTTCGTTATCATTTATGATAGGAAATAATGAATCCATATCAATTTCATCATTAAATGAAGAGACTGAAGAAGATTTATCATTCATCAATTTAAGAATATTTTCATTATTTGAATGAGCAGTATACATTAAATTGTTCATCCCATGTTTCAAATATGTTAGTGAACTTAGCACCAAACTTTGAAAATCTAATTCAAATTCAAGAAATATATTTACTTAGTTAATTATCTTTTAATATACATTTAAATTGTTAGTATTTATACCTGTAGATGTGGCAAATTTGGGTTCAATACTATTTGTATTTGGTTCACTCTGTATTGTGATATCTTCGACTTTATGACCTTTAAAATTGTATAATAATTTGTTATAGAAATATGTGTACAATAATGTATAACCTAAGACTCAACTATTTTTAATTGACAAGTTTTTATTTAATAAGTATAGATGTTATGTGAAAACAGTAAATATTAAATGTTAGGTGATAGGTACTTGTTAATTAATTAATTAAAATGTCAGATATTATACCTGATTTATCAATTTTCTCAGGAAATAAGTTTCTCTTGAGACTGATTGGAGTTTTTGAATTGGTCACTTTCCAGCTTCCACTGGGCGATTGTAGAGCGATTGAAGTTTTTGAATTAGTCACTTTCCAGCTTCCACTAGGTGATTGTAATAAAGATTCCTTAATATCCTTTACTTTAGTTGGTGTCATCAATATTGTATCTTCAAGATCATTATTATATTCGTCTGAAATTATAAGGGCTGTTAAAATTATTATATTTATAATAGGTTATTGATTAATTACTTTCATCTATGTCAAAAATATTTTTTTTAAAAATACTTTTTTCTTTGAACTCAGTTCTTTATTTTGTTCGATATCAGAATTATTGTTTTCTAAATCATCAAATTTTCTTTTATCACACCAAGTAGGGTCAGTATCAGTGTCATCAAAAGAATCCTCGTCGCCATCATCAATTAACTTTGTTTGTCCAGTGTTATTTTTCAAATCTTAAATGATAACATTTTGAATTTTTAAACAAAATATTATAAAAAAACAAATTATTTAAATATTATAATAGGACATAGGTACATAGAAATGCCATGCATTAAATTGATTATTATATATATCTATAAGATATAAATATTTAATTAAAAATGAATACTTTTCTGAACATCAGTTATTATGTAACGTGGTGGACAGCTTTTTGGTTCGAATATCCCAGTCTTTTTTTTGTTTTTTTCTATGTTTAACATCAGCTGGAGATAAGCTATCGTACTTATATTTTTTTCTACGATCCACTATAATATCATCAGCGCTTGAAACATCAGGGTGAACCAGTTACGGATAACATGGTTATGACAAAAATACTAATGACATTACCAAAAGAATATAATCATTTTTACAGTGCTTGGGATTCAGTCCCAACGGGAAGTAAAAATATAAATAATTTGACTAGTCGATTGTCGATTGAAGAATCGCGGGTTATCCAGATCAAAGGTGAAGTTGGTGAACAAGAGAAATCGAGTGCATTTCCGGCCAAATTTCAAAACAGATCTGATGGAAGAAACAGCAGTCATAATTATGGGAAAGGTAAAAATCAATTTACTAATAAAAGTAATATTAAGTGTTATTACTGTGGTAAACTAGGTCATTATAAAAGAGACTGTAGAAATTTTCTACATAGTGTACACAGTGGTAAAACCGGTACTATAGGTGCGAACTTGAACGCATTCATAAGCGAGTCAAGAATAAATAATATTGCAACAGATGCGTGGGTACTAGACTCGGGCGCTTCGGATCATATGAGCGCAAATCGAGAGTGGTTTTCAAGTTATGAACCACTGGACAACACTCAACAAATCACTATAGGTGATGGGACAAATCTGTATGCAGCAGGAAGAGGTAATATTAATATATTATCATACGTAAACGGTAATTGGAATAAAAATTACATGGAAAACGTGTTGCACGTGCCGGGACTAAAATTTAATTTATTTTCATGCGGTGTCGCGATGGATAAAGGATTAGTAATGACGTCAGATAGTTAGACGTGTATGTTAACTAAACAGGGGAAACCCGTATGCTGAGGTAAGAGATGCGGAAGGTTGTTTGAGTTAAACATCAAGGTCGAAGTACCGACAAACGGGTACGCGACTGTAGCTGTCGAAAACAGGTTATCTGTTTGGCACGAGCGCATGGCACATCAGAATTTACAGTACGCAAAAAGTTGTTTGACGAAACACGAAATAGTATGTTCAGCCAAGGACGACGAATTCATGTGCAGCAGTTGTATAATAGGTAAATAAAGTCGTAAATCATTTAGTAAAAGTAATACGGAGTATCACAATGTCGGTGATTTAATTCATGCAGACCTATGTGGACCAATGGAGGTAAGCTCTATAGGCGGTTCAAAATACTTCTTGTTATTCAAAGACGACTACTCGCATTATAGAACGGTATATTTTATTAAAAATAAATATGATGTTAAAAATATTTTTGAGACGTTCATAAAAAGTGTTGAAACAGAAACAGGTTCTAAGGTCAAAATATTACGAACGGATAATGGATTAGAATTCGTAAATAAAGAAATTACGGGTATTTTACAAAAACACGGGATTCGACATCAGTTAACAGTTCCCTACACACCACAGCAAAATGGAAAAGTGGAACGGGAAAATCGTACAATAGTAGAGTCAGCGAGGACAATGATTTGTGCGAAAAATTTGGATGTATCACTTTGGGCGGAGGCGGTAAACACGGCTGTTTACACGCTTAATCGAACAGGAACCAGTTCAGTTAAAAATAACTCACCGTACGAGTTATATTATAAGGTAATGCCAGACATTAAACACTTACGAGTTTTTGGTACTGTCGTATATACACACATACCAAAGCAAAAACGTAAAAAGTGGGACCCTAAAAGTGAAAAAGGAATATTTGTTGGCTATTCGGATAATACCAAAGGTTATCGTGTGTATTATTCGAAAACAAATAAAATTTCAATGTCTAGAGATATTATATTCGAAAACGAAGGTAATAAATTGGAAAATATAATTGCAGACAAATTAGAATTCACAGATACTCAGACTCAAATCGAGGGCGATCCGGTCAAGGTCGACAACAGGAGTGGCATGGTGCTACGTGATCGGAATACATTAAAAGCGCCGATCAGGTATAATGTGTCGTCGTTCGTCGCCAATCTCGTTGAACCACTAAATCGTGATGAAGCGATAGCTGGCCCACAGAAAAACGAGTGGGAGCACGCTATGAGTGATGAAATTACATCACTACACGAAAACAACACTTGGTCACTAGTTAATTTGCCTCAGGGCAAGGTTGCGTTACGTAATGCATGGGTTTTCAAAACCAAATATAAAAGTGACGGTAATATCGATAAGTTTAAGGCCAGATTGGTCATTAAAGGTTGTTCACAGAAATACGGTATAGATTACCATGAAACATTTTCGCCAGTGGTCAGATACGAATCAATTAGGGCGATATTCGCAGTAGCAGCTGTGGAAAAATTAATATTACGACAATTCGACATCAAGGCAGCATTTCTGTACGGAGAACTACAGGAAGAAATTTATATGGTACAACCACCAGGATACGAAGATGGATCGAATAAAGTCAAGGAACTTTCAATACCGATAGATAAATCACATACACTTGAACAAAAGGAAGATACGGAAATATTGAATGAAGATATTCCTTATAGGCAGGCAGTATGTAGCTTACTGTTCTTATCACAGGTAACAAGACCAGATATAGCATATGCAGTAAACTTTGCTAGTCGTTACTTAGCAAAACCAACTAAAGCTCATTGGAACTTGGTAAAACGGATTATAAGATATATCAAGCGAACATTTAATTATGGCTTGTACTTTAATAACAAAACAAAATTGTCATTAGAAATATTTAGCG